TAAACTATGTAAAAATATTAGAAAAAATATAAAATATAATATAGAGCTAAAAATAAATATATACTAATATAGAAAAAGTAAATTCTATTACATATTCCTCTTCTTAAAATGCAAGGCCCTCTGAGTATATGATTATGATAAGCCATTATAATAATCTATTTTTAGATTTTATCAATATTATTCCAAAAGTTTCTATCGGCTAATTTAATTATAACTAAGCCTTCAAACTTTAATTTTGTTTTATTGATAAATCATCATACTAAATTTCTATATTTGGTTATTTGTTTGTCAATAGTCAATAATAGTTTATGGTTTGATAACAATAAACTTGAATTTTTAATTCAGAACCTTCCAAATAGTTCAACAAACTTAGTGTAAAAAATGATCGAACTGATTAGATTATAGTAGCTTGTTTTGAGAATATTGATTATTGATTGTTTCAAAATTTTTCATAATCATTTTTTTTATTATAAAACTAATTAATTGTTTGTTTAGTTTTTTTCATCAACATTTACACAATTAATAAAAGGTTATTATCCTTTTATTTTTCTTTTTTACTTTCCTACATCTATGATAATCATACTAGTTCATAGAGAAACTCTAGCTTTTTTACTGAATCATTTAGAGTTTTTCTTTTTGCTAGTTTGACTCCTTGGGTGCTCAGGTTAAAGCAAAAAAGGATCATAGCTCAATATTTAATATTGTACAGCTAGCCCTTTCTATTTTTTTTATGCACACTTCCCCCTTGTTTCCTCTATTATGATGATAAATTTTTAATCTTTTTGTTATTAATTAATTTTTTTGAAAAATATTAAAAATTTTTTTTTTTTTTTTTTTTTTTTTTTTTAGAAAAACAACAAAATGTCTTTTGAAAAGTATGGCTTTAAACCAATTCAGGCCTTTGCTCCTTCTTTGGGTTCCATTTTTGCTTCCTTTTTTGCTGCCTCTTTCTCCATTTCTGATAATTCTGGCACCACTCGCCAAGATTTGTTGACCCACTTTAGCTCCCTCTAGGATATGGTAGCAGCCATACAAAGCTTTTTGGTTCAGCTGAAAAAGAAGACAAAAGAATATATTAGTAGTGCTGGTTGTTCTAACTATGCTCAGTTTCATAATAAATTAATTTATGCAGAGTTGAAAAAAAGAAAGTCCCAGAAGGAGATGCAGCAGAAAATTAATAATTTGGAAAAGTGGATTAGAGAGTTGAAGCAAAAAAATCTTCAGTTAAAATTTTTAAATACTAATACAAAAAAAAAGAAGAAGAAGAAGAATAATAATAATAATAATAATAATAGTAGTAGTAATAATAACAAAAATAAACATCAACTCTTCTCGCTGATCCTCAATCCCAAAATAAGGAAAAACAAAATACAAAAACAACAGGAAAACTGACTAGCAAACACCTTTTAGGCGACTAGCAAAAAAGCTGTATTAGGAGAAATTATATATAATATAATAGAGGTTAGAAGACAAAAAAAGTTGCACCAAGCTATTAAAATGAAACAGCAACTTTTTCGACAAGAAAATTTGAATTTTTGGGAAATTGGCATTACTCTGAAAAAACAGAAAACAAAACACATGATAACTTCAACAACAACAAACAACAACAAACAAACAAGCCTTGTACCAAATTAGAAAACAGCAAGCAATACAATAGAATTAGTAACATAGTACTAACAACATACTAACAAATATTACAAAGCTCAATTTTAGATACTGACTAACCAAAAATGGAAGATTCTGATCCAATTTAAAATACAAACCAATGAATGAAAATTGCAATGCAGATATTATATCTTATATTAGAGAAATAGAGGATAGAAATCAAAGACATGTAGACTGTAGAATTTTGAACCAAGTCCTTAAGACTCCTACACAGAACCCAAGTAGTATAGAACATATTGCTAAAGAATTAGCAATATATGACCCAAAACATATTACGCTCCAGGATATGTTAGTATATGGTCAAATACTAGAAACATTAAGAATAGCAAAAACAGGCTGGCTTAAAGAAGAAATAATCGATGAGTAGGCAGAAAAGCTTAGGTCAATAAGCCTCAATCCAGAATCTTTCGAATATAATATGAACATAAACAAAAAACCAATACATTAAGAAGAAAAAAGAACAAATAAGAAGCAAGAGCTGAAATTATTAGAAGAATGAATAAAAGGTCTCAGCATTGCTATACTGCATTACCAAGACACAAATATGAAAATAGAAGAACAAGAGGAAGAACTATTTAATGAAAAAACCAGCATCTCATTTCCTGCAAGTACAATCAAGCATAATCGATGGTCTCCAAAAAACAGGATATGCAATAAGAACAAATCCTTCAAGGCAAATATGCCAACATATGCTTTGCCAGGTGAATCCAAAGAAGAAAGAATAAATTATGTTCAGTGGATTCTAGGGAATAATCATCATATTAAAACAATCAAAGAAGTATTCAAAAATGGAAACAATTGAATAGAAGTAGATTTTGATTGTGAATATAGTAGAGATGCAGCGATGAACAGAATCAAGAAGAAAGAAGGTGAATGGCCCAAACTCATTCCAGAAAAGAATAAAAATAAAAACCAGGAAACAGAACAACAAGAGAAACACAATATTAATAAAAAAGAAAGAAAAGACATAAAACAAACAAGAGAAAATAAAGAACCAAGAAGAACAGAAGAAGCAAAGAAACAAAAAAGAAAAAAAGAAGGAAAGCATGTTATGAAGAAAAGCAGTTTAATAAGAAATAGTGAAGACGAAGACAAAGAAAAAGAAAAAGAACTGCAAGAGAGAAAACAAATAACCATATAGGATTTACCACCAAATATTAATGAAAAAGAGATCAAATATATGTGCAGAAAATTTAAGAACTTGAACATTGTATAAGTCAAAAGATCACTATACAAGACACTGGCAGTAATAGAAGCAAGCATAAAGAAAGAAGAAAGCATTCCATGGGTGCTGCCACTTGGCAACAACAAATTAGTATGTATAACAATTGGAGATGAAGATTATAACCAAAGAAACAAGCAAGGACAGTACACAGCCAAATTATTAAACATTCCAAAAAAAGTCTCAGAAGTACTATTGTTACGATGCTTAAAGAACAAAGGTGCAAAAGCAGTATATCATATTTTTCCAAAATTAAGCTACCTTTTTTTAGGAGATTTTAAATACAAAAAATGGTAAGTAGCTTATTTTCAGGAGTTATAACTTTTAAAATAACTTAAATATAACACAAGGAATAGCTTATTTTTGGGATTTATAGTTTTTAAAAGTAATTTAGTTTAACGAAATAGCTTATTTTGGGAATACAAACTTTAGCATTAAAGATCCTTATGTTTATTATCTTTTAAAGGTTAAATGAGTTTTTGCTGCATATAGTGAGTTATCTATAGGTATTCATAATTTATTATATATGCTCTAACAATAATAGAATATTAATATCTAATATGTATAGCTAATTCTTTAGAGGCTACGTAGGTTTACTGCAATAAAAACTTAAATATTTATTTTGTAGCATTCATGTGTTAAATTCTTAAAAAGCATGCTTGGATCCTTAATTAATAAGCATTATCATTATTATTATTGTTATGCGTAATATAAATAATACGTAATCAGTGTTCTACATCTCAATGGCAATCATACACCAAGTTAAATTTACTAAAAAAAAACACCTGCAAGATGAAATTGGAGGATAGTACATAATTTATAATTTTTAGTAGTAAGTTACTAAAATAGTAAGCTATCGGTATTACTTGCATTTTTATTTATATTTTACAATAACTTACCATATCATGGTAACTTACTGGTAATTTACCATAGTAAGCAACCTTAAGAGTAACAATTATTTTTTTCTCAATAAGTTACCTTGTTTAAACTTGTTTAAACTTGTTTAAACTTACTTAAACTTTAAATTTTACCAAATTTCCATACTGATGACGATAAGCTATAACTTTAATTGATTGTGCAACATTCTGTTGAAGAATTTAACTTTAAAATTCGCATTTTGCATAATCAAAATTTTCATAATAATAATGATAAGCTGTAATTTAATTAATCCTGTAATATTTTGTTGCTTGTTATTTAAAGAAAGGTTCATTTCATAGTTTTTTTTTTTTTTTAAAAAAAAAAAAAAAAAGAAAAAAACTCTACATAAAATTTACAACCCGTTCGGACTACAAAAACCAATTAATTTCATTTGTGTGGCCTTACTATAGTAAATATGAAAAGGCAACGAAACTCTTATATAGTCAAAAAAAAAAGTAAAGTTATAGAATTGGCATGCCATACTTCAAATAAATTTGCTGCTCACTACTATTCTCTTGATTTAACGATGGTTGGTCAGTGGGTTAAACAATTTTCATAAGACTCCCTTCTTCAAAAGAGTTCCTAAAAGGTTGGTTCTGAACATTATGCATTGTTTCCTAAAGAAGAAGCCCAACTCTATGAATGGATAATGGAGCTTCGTAAAAATAGTTTTGCAGTTAATCATTCTAGTATTAAAACAAAAATGGTTGAAATTATAAGATCAAGTGCAAGACTAGCTCAAGATGAGGCAGAGAAGTTAGCAATTGCTAATTTTAAGTTTTCACAGCATTGGCTTGGTCATTTTTTAAAACGTTATGACCTTTCTCTTCACTACAAGACTAATATTGCACAAAAGTTGCCTGATAACCTTGAGAATAAGCTATTAAAGTTTCAACAGTTTGTTATTTGCCTTAACCAGAAAAATAATTATCCTCTTGATATGATTGCAAATATGGATGAGAAGCCAGTTTGGTTTGATATAGTAGGTAACTTGACTATGAATCCAAGAGACATAAAAACAGTTTATGTTCGGTCAACAGGAAATGACAAAAATCGATTTACTGTGGTATTAACATGTCTTGCTGATGGCACTAAGCTCCTTCCAGTTATTATTTTCAATGGAAAGATTTGGTCTGCTAATATGCCCCCTCCTTCAGTTAATGTAATTGTTTGGTTTCAAAACAAAAAATGGATGGATGAGTTAGAAATGGAATGATGGATAAAATATTAGAATAGAATACGACCAGAGGAACCTCATTCAAAAACAATGCTTGTCTTAGATTCTTTTTCAGCATATATTTCAGAGTGAATTAAGTCTGCATTGTGTTCAAGTAATACAGATCTAGCTGTTATTCCTAGGGGTCTTACTAGCATGTGTCAACCTCTTGACATCTGTATAAATAAGTCTTTCAAAGATAAGCTTTATCAACAGTGGCATAGGTTAGTGTTGTCAATTTCTTGTTCTATTAATGAAAATTATATTTTATTCTAATTTCTATTGCTCTATTTATTGTTCTTTTGTTCTATTTATTTATTGCTATATTTAATATCTAATTATAATCTGGCAATTTTTTGTTCTATTGACAAAAATCTTATTCTATTCTAATTTTTATTCTATTTTATTGTTCTTTTGTTCTATTTATTTATTGCTATATTATTTTATTATAATCTTGTTAGTAATTTTTTGTTCTATTGATAAAAATCTTATTCTATTTATTCTATTTTAAATTTTATTGCTTTATTCTATTGTTCTATCCATCTATTGCTGTCAACACTGGCATAGGTGGATGGCAAATGGTGGTAATGGTCTTACTAAGGGTGAAAATTTAAAGCATGCAGATTTAAACACAGTATATCATTGGGTGTTAAATGCGTGGAATGATATCTCTCATGATATTATTATTCAGGCATTTAAAAAATGTAGTATTTCTAATTGTTTATCGGGAAGTGAGGATCATTTAATTTACGAAGATGATAATAAGAATTCAGACAATGCTGAGTCTGTTAATAACAGAGATAAAAATAAGAATAATAATGAATATGAGATTGCAGATTATAGTGCGGTCGAAGATTTGGATGAAGATACAGACGAAGGTTCAGATGAAAATATTAACAAGGAAAATGATTTTAATAATTGGCCAGAATGCTTTGTTGTCATTTAAAATATATACATATTCAAGGTAAGAATAAATTTATTACAAGTGAATATTATTACTTATGGTTATAATATTATAAGAATGGTTATTAACAAAATATATGTTTAAATTAGAATCATAAATGATTTTTATATATACTAGAAATATATTTGCATAGTGAACATGAACGATCATTGGATTTAAAAACATCAAAGACTAAACCAAGTAATATATCTGCATTAAGAAACTGCAGGAAAACTGATTGCATATTGAATAAAGCTAAAATCATTATCAATAATAATGTAGTTATTTTTAATAATACAATAAATACTATATTTTTAAGCTTTGAAATACCATAGAAAGTTATATACTAATAGTTGTTTAAATGTCTTAAAACAAATATCAGTAGTGTACTTGTCAGCAATCTGAGGATTTTAAAAATATTGCTAATCAGCAAATGCAACACAAGTATATATACAATTTTATTTCATGATTCTATCTTTATCCTATTACTAGTATTAATTGCACATTTATTCTACATATTAATTTAATAATCAAAGAAGTAATATGAGATCTGATGTCTATAGTTTCAGTGTAATTTTTTGGAAATTTATAAGCAGAAGCGTAACAAGAGTTAACTTATGTAGGGGCTTCATTTATGCGTAAAATTAAAGCTAATAAAATTGGGCAGTACAGTTACAATTAGAATATTAGTATATAAAATTAGGACACAGAAGATATAATGAGTATTATGATTAGAATGTATTTAGTATAACTTTTTTTTTTAGTTAAGCGAAGTAGTCTTTTAAAATATGTAAATATGGTTTTGGTACATATCATTTGGGTATGATGACAGATCAGTTGGATAAATTGTCGCTTATATTTATAGTTGATATATAAAAAAAAAACAGTTTTAGAGATCTTGACTTAAACCTAATCGATCTTCTTGGTACATTTAAATTAAGTAGGATGAGCAACGTAACAACTGTATTTTTTCTGATAAATTTGAAATAATCTTCAGACTCTTCTATTCTATTTCTGATTTTAAAATTTTTTGAAATACAAATAAGATTTTTTAAACTCTATTTAATTTCAAAATGCATCACTTTGTTTGTTAATTTTGAAACCCTTTAATAAGTAAATAATAAGGTTTTACTAATTTGAAGAGTCACTGAAAAATTTATAAAATGCTTTCAAGATTTTTAATTGTTGAATCTGAAAAAAATACTTTTAATGGCAGAATAATCACAGTAAACAGCAAAGCTAATATAGATGTTTAATGCCATTATACATTTAACAGCTTTACTATATGCACAGGTTTAATCTATTTAAAATATTTTAAAGTTTGATTGGTTAAGATTTGAGAGGTTATAACTTTTATAGAGGTAGTTTATTTTCAGAATTATAAATTTTATAGATTTTTAGACAAAAATTAAAAGGTAGTTTATTTTCGGGTATTAGGTATATTAGAAGTTTTTAACCAAAGTAGGGAGGGTAGCTTAGTTTCGAGGGTAGCTTAATTTTGGGAAAATATGATACATCCCATATAACAGAAATAGAAATTAAAGAAAGTTTGCAATAATCACATTTGAGAATGCTCTGGTGGCAGAAGAAGCTCAAACAACACCAATATGGTACAACAACTACCAAGTGAGTTGGGAAAATCCCAGAAAGAAGAAAGTACAAGAAAGAAACAAATCAAGATGAAGGAAACAAGAAAGATCAAAAGTAGATAGCAAACAACAAGAGACACCAAGAACTAGAAGCATAACACAAGAAAGGCCAAATAAAAAATATGGTAAAATAGGCTTAGATCTACAAATACAAAATATAAAAGAATGGCTAAGAGATAGAAATGCTAACATAGAAATAAAAGAAGATGACATAAAAAAAAGAAAAATCAAAGCAGTCCTGCAAAACCAAATGAAAACAGTACAAGTAGAAGATGTATTGTGTCAAATTTTGGATAGGCTAGACAAAATTGAAGAAATGCAGCTAAGTATAAGAAGTGGCCTAGCTGATCACTCCTAAGGGTGCCACAGTTGAACCAATAAATATTAACAAGAAGATCGAAAAGTTTTTACAAAACAAAAAGGAGGTGTTTAAAAAAAGAAAAAAAGTTAAGACTCCTTGTCAAGAAGAGAAAGTATATGATAGGAAAGAAAAAGAACCCAAGAGTGCAGAAATGAAACACAAGCCACCTAAAGAAAAATGGAAAGGGGGAAAGAAGGAAATAAAACTAGCATGTCACAATGTGAATGGACTTAAGACCAAGAGTTGGAAACTGGAAAACTTGCTCAGCTGGGCAGAAAAGGAGGAAATTACAATACTAGGAATTACAGAAACAAACATTACAGAAAGAGAAGAAAAGTTTCTAACATATGTGACAGGCAAAAGATATGTAAGGTTTTGGACAAACGCAGCTAAAAATAAAAAAAAAGGCTCAAACATTGGAATTATAGTTGATGAACAATAAGAAAAGCAAATAGATGCAGTTAAAAGAATAAGTGAATATATGATAGAGATTATACTATACTTTAAACAATTAGAATTAGTTGTAATTACAGCATATATACCACCAAATGATTAGGTAGTAGGAAGAAACATTCAACAAAAAATTGTAAAAACAATCTTAAAAAGGAAGAAACAGACACAAATTATTATAATAGGTGATTTTAATCACATGACAGACAACATCCTAGATAGACAACATTCACAAACAACAAATTACAAAAGGCTGCCAATCTTCAATTGGATGAAGAAACAAGACTTTAGAGATACATATAGAGATATGAATCCAATAGGTTGACAATACACATAGTCAAATAGAGAAGCAGCAACAAGAATTAACTACATATGGATATCAGATGGGCTGGTCTCAGGTTTATGAAAGGCAGAAATTAAAGAGGTAGAAGATATTACAGAGAGTGACCATAAGATAGTAATAGCAGAAATATGGATCAAGCATATGATAGCAACTAAAAGCAAGACAAAGATTAAAAAAGGGAGGCAGTCAAGAATGGTATATTTATATGATTAAGCAAAGCAAGAAGATTGAAAGAACTATGCACAAGAGCTAAAAAATCAGTTAGAAATAAAAGAGGTTTTAAAGAACATTTATAAGGAAGAACAGAATGAGGAAAATAAAGCAGAAAGAATAAATAATATATGGGATATAATCGAAGAAGCTATTATTATAGCAGCAAATAAACACATACCCAAGAAAAAAGTATTTAATACAGTAACTAACAGAAGAAGAAGCCAGAAGGAACAGCAACAAGAAGAAAACATTGTCAAGTTACAAAAAATAATCAAATATGCAAAAACTAAAAAAGTACAACAGTAACAGAAGAGAAAAGAAATAAAGTAAATGAACAATTAAAGGTACTAGGCAAGAAAATTGGTGCAAAATTGCCAAAACTATAAAGACAATAGTCAAATGCATAGATAGAAAATATAAAGAGTTGGAGAAAGCTATTATTGGAAAGAAAAAAGAAGAATTGAGAGTGAATACAGAGAAAACAAATAGAAGAAAATATAGATAAAAGGTGTGAAATGATCAGAACAAATTAGGAAAAGATGATAGCAAGTCTTCTGAATAGGCCTTATAAGAAAATAGTACTCGACAGATTCATCAAACAAACAGAAGAAGAAACGAATTTGCTAACAAGCCCAAAGGATGTCAGAACAGGAGTAGCAGAACACTACAAAAAGCAATTTAGGAAAAAAAATACAAGACTAGATGAGATATCAAATGAGTAGAAATAAATATATAAACCACAAGAAAAGATTAAAGAAGAATAGTATGCAGAAGTTAAAAGAAAAATTAAAAAAAAAGAATGGAAAGAAACACTAAGAAAACTGAAGATGGGAACAGCTTCAGGCATATCAGGTATAAGTTATATTCTGATAAAGCAAGTAGGAAAGGAAATGCAAGAAGTATTTAGAAACTTTGCAGACCTATGCCTAGTAGAAGAAAGAATTCCAATGAAATAGAAAATAGCACAAGTTTACCCAATACCTAAAAATGTTAAGTGGGGATATAGTTTAAACAACATACGACCAATAGCATTAATAGAAACATTTAGAAAAGTTGTAACAAAAGTGGTAACTAGAAGGCTTGCCAAAGTATTTACAGAAAAAGAAATACTCAAAGGACCAAATTATGTAGGCCTTCCAGACAACTCAACAGAACAACCAGTACATATTCTCAATATAATAATAGAAGAAGCAAAAGAGAAGGATAAAGAAGTATGAATACTCCTACAAGATATAAAAAAAGCATTCAACTCAGTTTCACTTGAGAGTCTAGAACTAGCAATGTGAATGGTTAAAGTACCTAAAAGAACAATGAAATACATTCTGGAGCTGTTCTATGAAAGACAACTAAAAATTATTACACTATATGGCTTAACAGAAGAAATAACAACAGAAGATGGTATAGATCAAAGAGAAGTAATATCTTCACTAATATGGTAACTGTTTTATAATTTACTGTTAGAGAGAATACAAGAAGATAAAGATTTAGGATATATAGTAGAACAACAGATCAAAAGAGGAATGCAATGCAACAACATCATGAAGTACCATCAAGTAGCCATTGCATATGCAGATGACATAATATGAATTGCAAATAGTAAAGAACAACTAATGAAAATATTAAAAACAGCAGAAGAATTTTATAAAATAAATGATATAGAGATAAATGGATCCAAGTCAAAGCT